GGAGTTTCAGAAATTGGTTCCTTCTGAGAGTTTTGTAAAGTGTTTTCTAATTTTGAAATTTTATCTCTCAGCTCAGAATTTTCCAATTTGAGACTCTCAGACTTATTAGAGTCAGATTCAAGATTCCTTTTCAGGTCTCTGAATTTAGCTCTAATCTGCTGATAACGTTCCAGAATTTCATTAAGGCTTTCAGCAAGTTCAGCCTTTGTAAAGTTAACAGCGAAGTTAGGAAATACCTCTTCTGTGTCTGATTCTGAGTCTGATTCAGAAGCTTCACTATCTTCTGAAATGTTTGCCATGAGAGCTATGTTTGCCCTTTCATCATCTGATTCTGAGTCAGCTTCAGACGAGTCAGAGTCATCCCATGTGGCCATGAGACTTTTCTTCTTCTCTCTTCCAAACTTCTTTTTGGGCTTTTCCCTCTGAAGCTTTGGGCAGTCACTCTTGTAGTGTCCTTGCTCATTGCACTCGTAGCAGATGATGTCTTTGGTGTTTGGCTTCTTGCTACTGGAGGAGCCTTCAGATCTTCTGTATCCAGAGGAAGAATCTGTCCTTTTGTATCTGGAAGAAGACTCGTTCTGATCAGATCTTCTGGGATTCCTGAACTTCCTTTGTCTTTGCTTCCACAGTTGATTTACTCTTCTGGAGAGAAGGGAAAGTTCGTCTTCTTCTGATGAGGATCCATCAGATGTTTCTTCAACTGCCTGCAAAACTTTAGACTCAAATTTTTTGTTAGATTTTAATGCTAAAGGCTTATCTTGCTTCTGAGGCTCATCAGCTTCTAGCTCTATCTCATGACTTCTGAGGGAGCTTATAAGTTCCTCCAGAGTGATTTTGTTGAGATCTTTAGCTAGCTTCAGAGCAGTAACCATAGGCCTCCACTGCTTGGGTAAACTTCTGATTATTTTCTTGACATGATCAGCAGTAGAGTATCCTTTGTCCAGAACTTTGAGACCAGCTACCAGAATCTGGAATCTAGAGAACATAGTTTCAATGGATTCAGATTCTTCCATTTTGAACGCCTCATACTTCTGAATGAGCGCCAGAGCTTTTGTTTCTTTGACTTGAACGTTGCCCTCATGCGTCATTCTGAGAGAATCAAAGATGTTCTTTGCTGTGTCTCTGTTGGAGATCTTTTCGTACTCAGTATAGGAGATGGCACTGAGGAGGATGGTTCTGGCCTTATGGTGATTCTTGAAGTCACGCTTTTGTTGATCAGTCATTGATTTTCTATCAATCTTCTGACCACTTGCATTCACAGGGTGCGTGTAACCATCTGTCACCATATCCCACAGATCAGCATCATGTGCTAGAAAGAAGCTTTCAATTCTGTCTTTCCAGTAATCAAAGTTTTCTCCATCAAAGACTGGAGGTTTGCCACTGAATCTGTCTCTGTCCTCATTGTTGTCATTGCTGAAGTGAGAATTGTTTCCTGCCATTGTGTTTTTCTGACGCTGGATCTTGTACTGACACGGTTAAGTGTTTTAGCTCAGAACCAGGCGCTCTGATGCCAATTGAAGTGGTGAAAAACACAAGAAGGGGGGGTTGAATTGTAAAACTGAAATCTAAAGCAATTGACAAGATATTTTTATCCTGGTTCGTTTGATCTCAAACTACTCCAGTCCACCCGTCAAGGTGATTTCGCCTCTCTCCAACGAGGTCTTAATTCACTATATTCAACTGAATATTACAGACTGCTTTAACAACTGCTAAAGCCTTCTTGATTCAAACCACAACCCGGTTTGTCAAGGCAACACTTTCTTACAAAGGTATAAAACAATGTGTGTGGATGTTTTCTACAAAACTTTATCACAACTGTGATGTATACACAAAATGAAGCTTAGAAACAAGATTGCTAAACAATAATGAATATCATAGTATGTGGTTTAGCAAAACTGGTAGAACGAAGATTATGGTTCAGCTTTGTGCGTGTAGAGATTTGGAGAGCATTAGCCATTATAATCTTCAAAGCCTTGTTTATATAGCACTTGAGAAGATGAACGTTGAATGCAATATTCTTGATTCAATGCTAATAACAAGCTTTCCTTTTTGAGCAGATCTTGTCTAGAATGAGGCCGTTGGAATTAATTAGCTTTCAATGCACAATACCGTTGCTTCTTTAACGCAAGTTCTGGCTTGGCTCATTCTGATTCTGCTTCGCTGCTGATGAACTATTGTGTTTCTGTATCAGAGTGTTGAGCGCAGTTCTGTTCATCAAGCTTCAGCATGTACGTGAGTTGATTATCTGATTTTGACGTTCTGATGTGGCAACTTCTGATGCTGGTGTATGAAATCAAATTCTGATGCTGAATAAACGTGATCTTGTTTATGTCCATCAGAGTATCTGCAAGTCAGAACATAATAATTTTAGGCAGCAGATAGTTCAAACATGAAACATATAAATACTATATCTTTTCACTTTGTTATCATCAAAACTTAAATATAGGGTAGTAGATTCAAACATTGTTCTAACAAAATCTTTACATTCAGTCCTTCTTTATTTTTCTATGATTCATGGTCGAAAGATTTACGTGTCTAGTTAGAATTTTACTATCCCTTGCTTTGAATTTCATAACATAATCTTGACAATAGTCGAAATTACTCAAACCCTTACTATTTTTACTTTATTTGAAAAACTTCATGTACATTAATCTCAGATTCACTAGTTAATTTCACAAAATAACCTTTAATAAGAGACTACCGTTATTTAACAAATTTTAATATAAACAACAGATTTAAAAATACTTTACGCTATAAAAATATCTCTATAATATATAGTATAAAAATACTTTAATGAATATTTTTTTCTCTCTTGTTAATGCAAATAACTTTTATACTAAAAAAAATCACAATTATTAAATGTAAAAATAAGATAAAGTTTACATCAAATCACACCCAAATTATACTAGAACTTTCTTAAATATGTCTATTATAGAAAATTTTTATTGGAACGGTTTCGTTAATTATGTGAGTTAAAAAAATTACAACTTTTTTTTTAAATGTTATATTTTATTTTCATAATACAATACTGAAAATAAAGTTTTCGTCCTTTTTAATTTTAAACTATAAATTTATTTAATTTTTTAATAACTTACTCATTTATCCATCAAACCTAATGATCAAATATTTAACCACATTAACTATAAGAATTATAACTATAAATTAATCATATCATATAATTATAAGAACATGTTACTTGTACGATTATTAGAATTATAAACTAAAAACAATTCACGCAATATTAATTAAAGAGTGTACATAATTAACAAAATTAATTCAATTACTCTAAGAATTAAAAAATATAACAATTTCATTGAGATAAATGCTTTTAACTAACATTAAAAACCGAAATGAAAAAAGAATTGTTAAAACATGTCAATTAAGATTCAATCGATTTAATTGGTTAAATCGTGATTGAATTGTATATTAAATTTAAATTAAAATAATAAATAAATATATTTTTAAATATTCTAATAAAATTAATTTGTATTATGATTTATAAAATAAATTTTTTTAAAAAATATGATACTAATATACAAATTTAAAAGAAGAAGAAGAATGCAATGTAAGATTCAATAATAAATTAAAATATTAGTTAATGATTAATATTTATATATTTATCTTAATTGTTTAACTCAAAATTACGAGTTCTTCGTCAGTATAGTTTTACATATTTTTTTAAGATCAACATCAGTTATCTCGTGTCTACAAATATTATATTATTTTTTTTATTTTTATTTGCATTTACATAATTTTATATTTTTCAATTTTGTTTATTTTTTTTTCTATTTATATTATTTTAAATATTTGTTATAATTAATTTTTTTGATTTAAAAAAAAATAAAAATATACAAAAAAATATTATTTTTTGAACCGTTTGATTCGCAAAAATCAATCCTAATTTTACAATTATTTTAATTTTTTAAAATAATTTTATCTCAAATTTTTAAACCTAATCATTTATTAGTCCAAATTAAACTGAATTAAATAATAATTTAAAGTTGAATCGGTTTAGCTGACCGATACAATCTGATTTGCAAAACATAGGTAATAATTACTTTACATATCAATTTTCCTTGAACAAAGCAAATTAGTACGTAATACATTTAAAATAATAATGAACACTCCAACACCTTAACATTTAATTGAATATGTACCATCATCAAATTATTCAAAGTGATGCCATTTTTATATTTATTTATTTATTTTGGGAAATCACTACCGAACTCGAAAAAACATCAAGGAAATTTTCCTAATTTTAAAGCTAAATTTTCTCTTTTCAGTTTGAGATTTTAGGTACTTTGTTAACAAAAATAATTGTAGAATAAACAAAATCCCAACGTTACCCCTGAAGTTTAACCAAGGAACCTTCCTAAACCTAATTTCAAGTGTTTATTCCATCAAAACAGTTTCATAGTTTCTCCCATTTTTCTACACGTGTCTCCACCCAACAAATAAACTTCACTCAATTTCAAAACCAAGTCAATAATATCCTCACACGTGTCAACCAGAATCGAGCTCCACGGTTTCTCACCCTCCCAATCCCCCTCCCAATCCCAAACTCTCCCGCAAAACCTGCAAGAATCTTTCACTAACCGGCTACACCCGGTTAACCCTATTTTTTTAATTCTATTTAAAAATTAAAAAATATTCATTTTATTTCAGCCATATAAATTCCCATCAAGAGAAGCATATTCCGTCTTCAAAATCAAAATCTCCAAACCTTCGTTTCGCTTTCCCTTCTACGCTACCTGGGTTACTTATTTACGTTTATACCCTTCTGGTTATGCTAGTTCCCGGTCGGCGTAAAAAACTCAGCCGAAGCTCCTCCACAGCTCTCGGTTTTCACCGCCGCAGATACGTCCGCTACCGCCGTCTAAGGTACCCAACAAAAACAAAATTTTAAAAAATTCCTCCAAATTCCAATTTCGCCCGGTATATATACACATATTCCATTTTTCTCCTTTTTTTTCTAGGCATAATCAGATAACGTTGATTTCATGCCAAGTCCCAAGAACCATAGGAAGGGAAGGATAGATAAACGATCTACGTCTTTTCACGGTGACAACGACAACGCCATGCCTACTGCCACAATCCGCCGTCCGAAAACCGTTCCCGATCTCATATCTTACCGGAACAGCATGATTCCGGTATCGGAAGGTCTTCCTAGACATCCTCCGAAGCTTCTCCTTAAGGTTACGGTTCTCGGAAGCCTTGGTCCTGTTCAGATGCTTTTAAAGCCGGAATCAACCGTCGGCGATCTCGTGGACGCGGCGGTTCGGCAGTATGTTAAGGAAGGTCGCCGTCCGATTTTACCTTCAAATGTTGCCTCCGATTTCGACCTTCACTATTCACAGTTTAGTTTAGAAAGTGAGTTTCATCTGATCAATTTTTATTAATCTTGTTTTAATTAATTTGATGATTAAAGGTTTTATTAATATTGTTTTGATTATTGTACTTTTGTCATGTGAAGGTTTATGTAGGGAGGAGAAGCTAGTCAAACTGGGATCTAGAAACTTCTTTATGTGTCCGAGAAACACTCCTCATGCAGCGGAGGGTATTTCTGGAAATAAAAAAGATGGTGGCGTTCCGGCGACATCGTGTTGCAAAGAGGTTGATATTGGTGGTGGTGGAGGTGGTTTTGGTTGGTTCAAACTTTTGCATTTCAGGCTGTAAATGTAATTGGTTAGTTATAATGTTTGATAGTAATAAAAATGAACCTTTATTTTTGTTTGTTTGAAAAAATTGCCTTAACTTGTAAAATAGGTTGGCAATAGGTTGGCAAGTAGGGAGTAGTAGGAAGAAGGTATGAGATTTGGGAGCATTTGTAGCAAACCAAAGGTGTAAAATTTGAATGTGTGGTTTTTATTAACACATGTAAATGATAATTTTAAACGGTCCAGTTTCTCTGATATTTTAATGTTTTTTTTCTTGTTTTACATGTCTACTAGTATCTTTCATTTTCCTACATGGCAAGGAAATTTCCATTTAACAAACTATGCTATTTTGCTATACTATAATCAAGTGACGACAAGTCTTATTTTTAATTTTTTGTTTGTTTGTTGAAATATCGAAAATAACGTCAAAAGTTGCGAATGGGACGATGACTATTTAAGCCCGATTTCCATTATCAAATTTATTAGGGATGGAGATATTTGTAATTCTATATTGTTACATTCTGAAGTGAAAAGAACTAGTGTACTCATAGATTAGGCAAATCCTACCCTTTAAAAAAAAAAAAAACTAATATGATATGTGATCGTACTTGATCAGAATGATTTTCAATGGTTCATAACAATTGACTCGTACAATTGATGATGTGAATGGGGTTATCTGCAAGACACTCTGATGTCAAAGTGAAGTTCAGAGTGAAAGTGTAAGTAGAGTTAAGAGAATAATGAATGTACCTAACCTAAGGTCTCCTTTTGAGCAAAGCGCTCAGGTCCAATATAGAAACTGATTCACGTGTGTAAGGTGGAGTAGTATGTTCTCACGATCTTGAGTCAACTGTCCCATGATCCTCGAATAGTGGTGACCAATTCTTCTTGGAGGGCAATAGGTTTGTGATATTAGGGGCAGTTTGACACGTGCCCATGGAGGGGCACATGAAAGTGATTCCCACGATTATGATTGCTTGGGTCACACTGTTGAGTCTTTCTAACGCTAGATCGGGCCTTGCCCTACAGTGGGTTATTTACGAGTCCATTTCAGAACAAGAGCCCCCAAGTCGTTGCTCATAGATACATGAGATATGATTTAGAACCAACTTGTGCGTCGAGGATAAAGTAGGTGGTCAGTCGTCGTCGGGCATATGCGGGGTGTGCTTGCTCGTGAACTCTCCTTCGAATCCCCGACGGAGGGGCCCACAGGATCTTTGCCCGAGTTGAGTCTTAACGCTTGTCAACGTGGATCACTAAACTCTCGAATTTGCGCGAGGAGCCCCTGCTCGACGTCATTTCTGATGGTTGGTTATGCTCGAATGTGGTTCAACCACGTTTATTCACAAGGTATTACCCGACACAAAATGTGAAAAGGATGTCGAGGATGAGCGATGTTCGTGCTCGACTTCAGACGTTAGAACTGAGTTGTGGGGAAGTGCTCGACTGAGGGAACATGGGGAGTCAATGCGTTGTCTTGGCGCGTGGGAATGTGTAACAGCGGGCCTTGGGAGAACAAGCATCGAATCATTTCAAGTGCCTCGCGTGATGGCTATTTAATGCGCCACTGGCCTATGATGGCCTAGGGTCTAGGCAATGATGTCCTTCTGTTCTCTCCTCCATGTTATGTGTTTGGCTATAAAAGAGTGAGAGGAGATTCATTTGAGATTTTACCATTTTTCACAATCCTCTGTAGCCCTTACGTTGTTGTTGTCGTTCACTATCACAACTGTTGTCGCATCTGTTGTCAACTCCTTGTCTTTGGTAAGTATTCTATCTTTGTGCTAGTTTATAGGATTTCCTTTGAAGATCTTCTTTTTTATCTAAGAATGTATGAGTTTTTCGGCGAATTCTATGAGGTTTCTGGTGAACTCTATGAATTTTCTAGTGAAACACATGAGTTTTTGATAACACGAATTTATATAACATATTTGGCTTAATTTTCATAGATAATATTAGTATTTTTATTCATTTATTCTATTTTATTTTTGTATTACGTTGGTATTTCTTTTGTTTCAGGTATTTGTATTAAATAAAAGATCAATTGAGCAAAGAAACAAAATTGAGGGAAAATCGGATTAAAAAGCCAAAGAAATGAAGCAAAAGGGGGTGATATAGCAAAAAGGAGGAGTTAAGAAGAAAGAAATAATTATACAAAGAAAAAGACTAAGCCCAGAAGAGCAAAAGCCCAGCAGAAGTTCAGTCCACAAGGTGTTACGACCGTAACAGCCTTGTGACGACCGTAACAGATCTATGACGACCGTAACGCGCTATATTTCAACTTCCTCACGTTATGGAGACGTGTCCCATGTTCTCCCATGATTCTGGTAGTTATTCCCATGTTCTCCCATGATTCTGGTAGTTATTCCCATGTTCTCCCATGATTCTGGTAGTTATTCCCATGATCTCCACTAGCCTTCGTACAACATGGAAACGGGACGTTACAAATGAAGCCTATAAATACAAGTTCAACCTTCAGAGCAAGGGTCGGCAATTTTACCGAACAACCGTTATTTAGTCTTTCTTTATTTTTCTGTTTTCGTATTTACTTTTCAGTTTTGTATTTCTACCATACTTTTCTAGTTCAGTTTCTTTCTTTAGTTTTTATTTTAGTTTAAGTTTCTATAATTTTCACTGATCTAACCTTACGTTAGACCTAGTGCTTTTTATTTTTTGTCGTAATTTTTCTTTTCAATTCAAGAAGTCTCCGAGCAGATCCAACCGACTTGTGGGGGAATGCTCGTTTATTTTGAAGAACAAGATTATTCAAGCATTATTATTATTTCCAGGTTCTTAATATAATTATTTTATTTTATTTAAGTATTGTTGCTTGGTGTTTATTTATTTGATTATGGGAATGTTTAAATATATTAAACCTTATTATTTATGCATGTCCGAATTAATAAATATGTCCGGCTAAATCGTTTAGGTATCGGTAAGTAATAGTAGTAAGAGTAGGAATTAAATTGTTCATAAGTTAAAATACTAATTAACTTAATTTCTGGTTATGACTTTTTATAATTAAAACTATGCTTTTTGTTACGAAAGTAAGGAAAGTAAATAGGTTAGATCGAGACCACGAAAGTGTGAGGTTTTTAACCGGATAGCTAAAGTTAGGCATTTGATTTAAATACAGTGAAAGCGCTTTAAACCAAATTAGAATTAATTAAGTTTCCAAAAAATACTTCTAAACACTTATAGGCTAGCGAAAGCAGGTATAGGGCTTTAGACGTATAATCTGAGATAAGACCATGAAAGTGTGAGTCAAGGATATTTAAACTAATAAATTCTACAGAACAATTAAGTTAACCATCTTTATACGCTTAAGTTCAATTTAAGCCGCTTAGGTTCACTACTTTACGTACCGATATCCGTTTTATTTATATTTATATTCCTTAACCAATATTCTAAAAGAACTATTCGCCTTAGATGTGTACCGTAACTTAGGATAACAATAGATCGATTTATAGTCTCTGTGGGTTCGATATCTTTTAAAACTACGCGATAGGACTGTGCACTTGCAGTCTCCCGATTAACAGACGATAAAGTCTTGCGATCAAGTTTTTGCGATCAAGTTTTTGGCGCCGTTGCCGGGGACTATTTAAGTCGATATTGTAACTCTGGTGTTACACCGTATAGACTAAGGCACCTTTACTTTATTTACTATGTATAACCCAAATTTTTCCTACGCCCATTATCAGTATTTTGAGGAACCACAAGAATATCATGGATCCAACCTTGAAATACTGATGGAAGATTTCAATGCTTCACAAACCTACTCTTACCCAAATTACCTCCAAAACTACCAATCCCCACATTTTGAGGAACCCCAAGAAACTTATAATTTCAACCAAACTTTTCCTCAACCCAATTCTCTCTATAATTACCACACCCAATATTTTGAAGAATCACCTGGACCATATAAATCTGATCTCGAAATATTAATGGAAAATTTTAATGAAACATCTAGGATGATAAAACACTTAGGGGAAACACAAAAGGAGACTTTAACTTACTTCCAAGACTCTGAAGAACCGCAAGATTTTAACTTCGAAACACCAATAAAGGATTCTGATGAGATGATAACCAACGCTAGGTTAGAGTCTATGATTGAGCATTTTGTAGAAACACAAACTGTCCAAAATGAAGAGGTAAGAAAACAAAGTATTCAAAATAATGAAAACCTTAGCCAACTAACCGTTGAGGTTGAGTCCCTCACGACTCATAACTTGGCCTTAGAAACTCAAATCTCCCAACTTGAACAAAACCTTCTAGGACCATTCCCCAAAGAAGATGTGGATGTTGAAACAACCATTATAGAAAAACTATTTGAAAATCTAGAGAGTGATGATGAGTGTGAAGAGAGTGATATTGCGGCCAAGGAAAGTTCTGACGAGAAAATAGTGGAGATTGAGACAGATTCACCAACGCTGTTCGAAAAGGAGGTTGTAAACGAGGTAGAGAAGGAAGCGCAAATTGTAATCCCAAATCACTACATCCCACTGATTTCTTTCCCGAAAATTTTTATGGAAACTCCGGTAGACTCCCAATTTAAAACGTATGTTGAGGTATTAAAAAATATCCACATTAATGTACCACTATTTGAAGTCTTGCCTAAAAAGCGAAAATTAGAGGACCATAAAATTAATGGTATAATTGCTGTTAAAAGGGTGAGGTTAACTTATGAGGCGATGGATGAAATCACTAAGCCCAAATTTGAAAAACTTATACTTATGATAGATCCAGAACCACTACCACAATTTCGAAAGAATAAACCACCCTACAGAAGAAAGAAAAGAAAAGGTGAGGGATATGTGAGATGGCTTGATAAGTGGCCATGGAAAATCAACCAGTAGTCGTCCTGGTTTCTAATTTTAAATTTTCTCTTCCATATTTTCATATTTTCTATTTTATGTTAAATTTTATATTTAAATCGATTATCGGTTGCACCCTTTCATCTGATGTGTTTGAACTATTTCCCCGTAATACCGATAATTATACTCAATTAAATAATTCACGTTAATATTTATAATTATAATTGAGTATTATTTTAATTATCGTATTTCCCCGTCTCGTATTAATATACTGAACTAATACTTCCCAATATTTATAGTATCAATCATAATGCATTATATACTAGTATTATATATATATACTATTAATTAAAATTCTAGATTTATCTATTTTATATATATATATATATATATATATATATATATATATATATATATATATATATATATATATATATATATATATATATATATATATATATATATATATATATATATATATATATATATATATATATATATATATATATATATATATATATATATATATATATATATATATATATATATATATAGTATGTATGCATGTGAGATGAAATACAATTCCTTGTTCCTTATTCCGGTCGCCTCAAGTCCCCACACCATGCTCTGGAATATATCTGCACTAGTTTGAAAATAAATACTGGACGCAATAATGCTTTGTAATGTATCTGTAGTAAGAAAGAAATGTCACAGAACAGAAACAACTCTGTTCTGCTAAAAGTTACAAAATTCGTAGCTGTTACGACCGTAACAAAGCCCTTACGACCGTCACACGCCTTTTAGCGTGTTACGACCGTCATGCCCGTGTTATGACCGTAACACGGGTTATATCAGTAACCCCTATAGCAGACAAAATCTCTTCTTCTTCTTCAACCTCCCACTCTTCTTCTTCCACTACCTCCATAACCGTCCCACTACGTCCATAACCTCCGCCTCAGCTCGTGTTTCTCCAGATGCATGTTGTCTTTTCTGCTCCCTTGACTGACTGTTTGTTTCGTCCTTTTCTTCTTTTCATTTTCCCACATTACTCCCATTCAACTCTTATTTACTCTTCCATCAAAATATTCTTCTTATTCATCTTCCACCATAATTCTTATTCAAACTTTCCCTCTTCATTTCCCAACACATTTTTATTATAATAATTCCTCTTCAATCTTAACCCTCTATAAACACTCTTCTATATTTCTTCTCATTTCACGTCCCTTCCATCTAATTCTCATATACTTTCTCTCATCCATTTCATTTTCTACCATTCTATCCTTCATTTCATACTCTTCCATGGCTCTACGAAACACTCAACGTCCAGTGAGGCCAGACCGACCACCACCTGACCTATCCACGATTATATTCTGAGAAGACGATATATGATGCCGGCCCAGACGCTGGATGTTATGTACTGCCGCGATTCACATCTAATTCCCAATATAATACTTCCATGTCCAAATCAGATTAATGTGCAAAATTTCCAAAATTGGCGTTTCAATTTGAATGCACCAGTCAAGCCGGCTGCACAACCAGATAATGATCATCCTCCGGCTACTCTAGAAGCAATGTATGCTACGATTCTACAACAAGATCAACGTTTCCAAGCAATGGAAGTCGTTCAAAATGAAACATTGCGCCTAGTTCGAGAAATGCAACGCGACCAACACGACTACGCACATTGGAATAACCGCAATTACGAAGAGATATCAAATCAAATGGAGGATTTCAACGAGTCCATACATGCCTTAAACCTTAGAATCAATGGATTGCATGATTACGACTCTGATAGACGTAGAAGACAACGAAATAAAAATAGAGGAGCAAGAGGACAAAATTCTCCAAGCGACGAGTGATCACCCTTCTCTTTTCTGATTTCTCCTAGTACTATCGCATTGAGGACAATGCCTACTTTAAGTTTAGGGGAGTCATAACATTTCTTACTTCGTTTTTATTATCTTTGCTCTATTTAGTATTCCCTTTTAGTTTCCTTTTTTTCCTATGTACTGCGAAATTTCCATTTAATAAAATACATGTTTATGAAATTTTAGCCTTTTATGTAAAATTCTCGTGCTTATTCGAATTCCTCCATATTCTTGAGCCATAACGAAAAAATTCAAACGTTATATTAACATATTCAACTAGTATTAAGGTTGCTTATTTTTATAAACAAGAACTCGAGCGCGACTAAAGCAAAATTATTATCATCATAACACTTCAATACCCCAACGTGTTAGATTGATTTAAGTACTTATTATACCAACACCTTAAGACTTAGTTTTAAAGTAATCCCGAGTAGTTTATAAAAGCAGTCAGCACCGCCTTGAACGACAAACTACGTGGAGAATCGATGAATATAAGTGTTTGATCAAGATTTTTAAAGAGAAATTTTTATTAGAAGATGCACTTATTAAGTTAGATGATCCTTACCAGATCATTTAATTCAACGGTTGCAGAAACTATAAAATATTTATGCAAACAACCATTATGAATTGGTTCAGTGGTCTCTGGTGCTGAACTTGGTAGGGCGGACGACAGTCCGATCCCCCACAATTTATAATTGGATAAAGGAGTACCAAATATAACTACCAGAACTCCAAGCTAGATTATAAAGATCAAAGTCACTAACCGGTTACTCCACTATGTGCGCGTAAGGTAAAGGGCTTAATGTGATTGCACCAGAATGAAAACGGGTGAAACGAAACGAAAGTATTAGGTCGAGTTATAATTCATGACTTAATTTGGTCTGCATAAATGAGGGTATCTAGTGTCATTACTGTAATTTTGGTGTCAAAGTCTGAACTCGAGTTATCCAAACAAAAGAATTGACCTGCAACCAAATACAAATTGAATAGTGTTTTATATCTACGTTTGACTTATGCTTAAGTAATTTTTCATTTTTAATTTTTGCTTGAGGACAAGCAAAGGTATAAGTATAGGGGTGTTGATAACACGAATTTATATAACATATTTGGCTTAATTTTCATAGATAATATTAGTATTTTTATTCATTTATTCTATTTTATTTTTGTATTACGTTGGTATTTCTTTTGTTTCAGGTATTTGTATTAAATAAAAGATCAATTGAGCAAAGAAACAAAATTGAGGGAAAATCGGATTAAAAAGCCAAAGAAATGAAGCAAAAGGGGTGATATAGCAAAAAGGAGGAGTTAAGAAGAAAGAAATAATTATACAAAGAAAAAGACTAAGCCCAGAAGAGCAAAAGCCCAGCAGAAGTTCAGTCCACAAGGTGTTACGACCGTAACAGCCTTGTGACGACCGTAACAGACCTATGACGACCGTAACACGCTATATTTCAACTTCCTCACGTTATGGAGACGTGTCCCATGTTCTCCCATGATTCTGGTAGTTATTCCCATGTTCTCCCATGATTCTGGTAGTTATTCCCATGTTCTCCCATGATTCTGGTAGTTATTCCCATGTTCTCCCATGATTCTGGTAGTTATTCCCATGATCTCCACTAGCCTTCGTACAACATGGAAACGGGAAGTTACAAATGAAGCCTATAAATACAAGTTCAACCTTCAGAGCAAGGGTCGGCAATTTTACCGAACAACCGTTATTTAGTCTTTCTTTATTTTTCTGTTTTCGTATTTACTTTTCAGTTTTGTATTTCTACCATACTTTTCTAGTTCAGTTTCTTTCTTTAGTTTTTATTTTAGTTTAAGTTTCTATAATTTTCACTGATCTAACCTTACGTTAGACCTAGTGCTTTTTATTTCTTGTCGTAATTTTTCTTTTCAATTCAAGAAGTCTCCGAGCAGATCCAACCGACTTGTGGGGGAATGCTCGTTTATTTTGAAGAACAAGATTATTCAAGCATTATTATTATTTCCAGGTTCTTAATATAATTATTTTATTTTATTTAAGTATTGTTGCTTGGTGTTTATTTATTTGATTATGGGAATGTTTAAATATATTGAACCTTATTATTTATGCATGTCCGAATTAATAAATATGTCTGGCTAAATCGTTTAGGTATCGGTAAGTAATAGTAGTAAGAGTAGGAATTAAATTGTTCATAAGTTAAAATACTAATTAACTTAATTTCTGGTTATGACTTTTTATAATTAAAACTACGCTTTTTGTTACGAAAGTAAGGAAAGTAAATAGGTTAGATCGAGACCACGAAAGTGTGAGGTTTTTAACCGGATAGCTAAAGTTAGGCATTTGATTTAAATACAGTGAAAGCGCTTTAAACCAAATTAGAATTAATTAAGTTTCCAAAAAATACTTCTAAACACTTATAGGCTAGCGAAAGCAGGTATAGGGCTTTAGACGTATAATCCGAGATAAGACCATGAAAGTGTGAGTCGAGGATATTTAAACTAATAAATTCTACAGAACAATTAAGTTAACCATCTTTATACGCTTAAGTTCAATTTAAGCCGCTTAGGTTCACTACTTTACGTACCGATATCCATTTTATTTATATTTATATTCCTTAACCAATATTCTAAAAGAACTATTCGCCTTAGATGTGTACCGTAACTTAGGATAACAATAGATCGATTTATAGTCTCTGTGGGTTCGATATCTTTTAAAACTACGCGATAGGACTGTGCACTTACAGTCTCCCGATTAACAGACGATAAAGTCTTGCGATCAAGTTTTTGCGATCAGTTTTCCGGTGGAATGCATGAGTTTTTTGATGAAGCTCATGAGTTTTTCGATGAAGCTCATGAGCGTTCCAATGAAGATCATGAGTTTCTTGATGAAGCTCGCTATTTTCCCGAGGAGACGTGAATGAGAGGTTTCTCCTTGGTGGGGGAAGAAAACCACGCTCGACATCTGTTGAGCGGATCCTCGTCCCCTGCTTCAAACCTTTCATTGAGGAAAGGTTTCTTTGTGCTCCCGTGGTCACCGACAAGGGCCCTGATCGAGGACGTGTCCCCGATCAATCCTTCGCCCTTTCACTTGATTTGCAATGGAATGGTGGATTTGATGTTACCGTCAAATTCATTCTTTCCCTCTGTTGTTCAGGTAAGATGGCCCAAAATGTTGTGGATCCCCCCTATCGAGGAAGTGACCCATGTCGAGGAGGATGGGAGGAATTTGGATTGGGTAGGAACTGAGCCGTTGGAGATTGCTTCGAGATTCTCCCTTGACTCCTCAGACGCATTCAACATTGTCGAGCTCCGGGTAGAGGGTGTCGAGCCGTCCTGGACGCCTCTGTGTCTAAAGCATACCAGTTAGATCTGCTCGGTGTTTGCTAGGACTTGATTTCCGATGTATAAATTTTCTTTCAAGGAGGCAGGGATTCGTTTTACCTTCAGCAGTCTCCAAGCAGACATCTTTACATGGCTTGAGTTGGTGCCCTCTCAGCTTCATTCAAACGAGCTTGTGTTTGCGCGAGCATTCGAGCTTATGTGTAGGTATCTTCAGATCAGTGCCACGTTGCCCTTGTTTTATGCGGTCTTCCATCTCTAGAGGCAGTCTGCTAATGGTCTCCATAGTTGGGTGTCGTTCAAGCAATTCAAGAAGTTGTTCTGAACGTATCTGGATTTCGTCCACTCTTTTAAAGGTAGTTATTACATCGTGAAACCCCTCTCAGATGCAGCCATAGATTCCATATATGATTATGTGGAAGAGTTTGAGGATGGTAGGTGTTGTACCCCAATTTTTTCCCCTAAGATTCCTCTATCATTTCATATAAACTCAATCACAACAAGAACACACTAGGGTTTGGCTCTTCTCCCTATCTTTAGGTTTTCTCATGAGGAATCACCAAGCACCTTGATTTGTATATTGTGATCATTTATGTTTTGTATTGATTAATTTTTAACTAACAAATACAATGAATGTTTTCTCTAATTGATGATTCTATAGGTGAGGGCACAACACATTTCATTAGGTGGATTCATAGGTTCATGAGTTTATTTCCATGCCTTCTTCAACAAAGCTTCATTGAGATTCAAGCTTCATCATTGAGGATGCTTTAAAGTAATATCATGACAAGGTCTACTATGATTCATCATGCCTCAATTTGTTAAAGAAAGTCAAAAGATGCAAGGGTTGATTGAAGAAGTTTGACCTAATTAGACAAATTCTTGATTCTTTGATCACAAGTACATAACTCTCTCAATCCTTAATATTTAGAGGTGGTTATTATTTCTATGGGTTCTTATTATCATCCACAACAACCTCTATTCACATGGCAAATGTTATTGTGCAAGAAGGTTTGTCAAAATTGAGAAGGGTTTCCAATTCATTTTGGTGCTTGATGAGTGTCGTAACCCAAATTTGTCCTACCTCGATAAATCTGTTCTTCAAGACTAAAATAGAAGAAACATTTAATTAAGGATGGTACATCACTATCTGATGGCCCATTTTTTATCTAAGAAAAAAGGTGTATTTTAACTCGGGAAAATGGGGCTTTCTAAATCAGAAAGACTTATAAACTCATTCGCGTAGCATTTTGGCCAATGGCCCATGCGATTCGAAAGGAAAATTACTCAAATGCTTATTAAGCTAATAGTTTTTATTAGGGAGGTTATAATTTAAAAAAAAAATAGTTACGCCCATTTAAATGTTATGTGGTGTTAAACAGTGAATAGGGGATGTATCAATAACTATAGCCCATGCAAGTATTACTGTTTTAGTAAAAGAATGGGAGTGAAGTTGCAATCTAAAATCCAGTAGAATTCATGTTGTCCCATTTTTTTTTAGTTAGGGAAAGTAAAGATGGGGTATGCTTATCAATTTATAGGCCCATTAAGATTTTTTAATAAAACTAATGCATTTTGCATTATTACTGTTTTAGAAAAAGGACATTATTATTTAAGCCTCTTCATTATCATTTCTTTATGAATTATATTTTTGTTATTACTGATTGATTTATCTTCTAATTGATTAAAGGTTTGTTATGTAGTGATGACTTATATCAAACATTTTTTTTAAAAGTTTTGTTTTAAAGGAAAAAACCCCATTGGACCAGGTTACTAAATCCAGTTAGGCCCAGTCCGAAATGAATGTTTGGTTGTGGACATAAGCATTATTTTACAGTAGAAGACCCAATTAAGTAGATAACGCAAGGCCAAGGAATCCTTATGTTATGCAAATTTTGTTTGAAACGGACAGGCCCATTGCTTGAAACTGTCACTGTACGGATCACCCTGGATCTAACACACGCTTTGGCCCAAATAATACTTACTGTTTGAATCTAATGAAAATAATGTCTTTATTTTACAACAAAATAATACATAATAGAATTCAATCAAAATAAGATCTTCTAAAACCTAAAATCCAGCCCAGGAATCTCTGTTATAACATAAAATGTGACACATAATCAATAATGAGATCAAAAAGGCCCAAAATTGCTAAAATTATACAGAATTAATATTACAAATCCAATTTCAATTACACATGACAAAATCCACCAAATCTCTATTACAGCAAATTGCAGATCTAAGAAGATCCCTGAAAATTCAATGACAGAATCAAAGAAATCTAAAACGAAATATAATCCAATCTCAAATTGCAGTTTAAAATAAGAATATACATAATCAATTCTTCCCAGAATAATTTACAACAGAACAAATCTAAATTACAGAACAAATCTTTTCATTACAAGTCCTAAACGTTAGAATCAGTTAAACCTATTACATAAACTAAATATTTGGCAGACCTGAGAATCTAAAACAGAACTTGGAACCAAGTTACAGCAAGCTCGATTCACAAATCATGGCAGAGATTCGGGATATGTTCATACAAGCCAAGGTAGGATAGCTGAAGGATCCAATCTTCACTAAATATTCAGTATAAGCTTTGCTGTTACAAGAGAGAATAATAGAATCAAGTCATAACAGAATAAATCTCAGCACTGCAAATAAAATCCAAAATTAGCACAAGGTTTCTACTAACAGATGATGTTCAGATTTTTAACAAAAAAATCGTATCTTTTTACATTATAATGAAAACAAATCTAAATCCAGAAAGTGATAATATACTCAATCAAATCAATGGCAAAGAGTTTCTGAGTCAATCAACAAAAGAAAATCCGCAATTGTCTCTAAATCCTAAGTCTATTCTGATTATGACTGAAAATTCGTTCAAGCCCAAAAATAAAAAACCCTAGATCTGAAGGAAACTATAAATACAGAAAGAGAAGAAGAGGGAAGGGGTCAGAGAAATTAAGATAAAAAATCATACTTTGTGATCCATGGAAGAGAAGAAAAACGAATTAGGGTTTCAAGATCTAAAACCCTAATCGTATCCCTGTCGCTAGCTCTTCAGACCTTCTCGGAGCTTCCATCATCCTCCAACCTTTAATCACCGCCGAGAACCTGCCAAAACAAAGGAGGAGGAAGAGATTAGCAACTGGAAGCGCGAAATATAGAAGATCGCGAGAATCGGTAAGAGAACAATCACCTAGCTTTTATTTCCTCTCATGATCATTGGTTCTGGCTTGGGGTAAATGGGTAGGAAGGGATTACGCCGCCGTAGTCATGGCCTTAGGGTTTAAAGAATGGGCGGCGAAGGGGTTTATACGGTTAAAGAGCGAAGAAGATGGTAAGGTGAGAGAGAAAGAACGAGGATGATATGAGGAAAATGAGAATGAAATGTAAATATTTTGTTATATTCTGTACAGATCTGATACCTGCGTGCCCATGGTAACTAGCATGCATCTTAAATCTCATCCGCATGATCATCAGTGGATGGCCATGAGACCGAGTCCACTGTAACATCCATACTCCCTCACGCATTCAATCACCCAGACCTTTCCAAAACGCATAGTGGGCTAAGCCCATTCAGATTTACACCCCCTCGCCTCTCTTTACTAAAGATAACAATAATGTACACCCCCTGTCCAGATTTTGTTTTGGGCTTAACACCAGTTAACTTTTCACCTCCCTATTTTACTTAGAAACTAGATTTACACCCCCTGCCTAATTAATCATTTTTACATTTTTTTATAATTAGTATTTTCTTCTTCTTATTATTATATTATATTCATATTTTTATTATTTTTATCATTATTAATTGTAATAATTATTATCATTATCAGTAATTTTTATTTATAGTATTATTATTTATTATATAGAAATATTACTATATCACCAAAGAAATTTATTTTTATATTAAAACTGCATATTTCACTTTATATATTATTTGCATTAAATTGTTTTCTAATCATGCATTAATCAAAGACGTTTTGCAATTAATACAGTAAAAAACACAAACAAATATCGAACTATTTTCGCGAACAAATTAAGCTAATTAACAATTCCTTTTTGCAAATGGGTTTCGAACTAATTTTGGCTTACTGCATACTCAGTCAAAATTTCCGCAATCACTACTCTCGACTGAGTTCGAAGTGATTCAAAATATGTTCATAAACCCCTAAAAAACACCAACCCATACGAACTACGAATTGGGACTCTGATTCCTCATAAGAGAATACATAGGCACGCGATCTAAAATCGTGGCGAGTCTTGCTAATTAAAACCTAAAACCCTATTTACCCTAAACCTAGATCTTAGTATCCTTGTGAACAAGGTGGATGAAAGGTGCCTAACACCTTCCGTTCATCTAATTGAGTCCGTAACCTAGAATCTCTGTCTACGAATTAGGGTTTCCTATTAGATGCCCTTCCTTAGGATAAAAACTAATAGTGGCGACTCTCGATTTAAAAACCGGTCGTAATAATGAGCTAGGGTTTTAAACTTCTAAGGGCTATATCTTGCTCATATTTTAAGATTTTTGAGTAATTCCAAAGACATGATTCTATTTAAAGGGTTATCAACTAATCACTTCAATAATTTCAAGAAAATTTGGTGTGGAAGATGCCTAATAATGAAGAAATATTACAAGTTCTCTAGATAGGCCATCAAATTCCCTTATGTGATTTCAAAAGATCATAACTTGGTCAATTTTTATCTCCTTGAGCCCATTCTTTTTCCATAATGATCTTAAGGATGTGAAATTCAACCCTTCTTTCATGTGCAAAGCTTTAAAATAAGTGCAAGATGCCCTAAGAACTCAAAAGATTATAGGTCACCTCATGAATTTTCACCAATTATACAAGGCCATAACTTTTTCAATAATTGGTTTTTTTGAGTGATTCAAGTTTCACAATGCTCTTTGGGATGTCCACTTCAAGCTAGCATCAATTATCAAAGCTCAATTTTTGGAGAAGACCTTGTTTGAACTCAAAATATTATAGGCCACTTTTGAAGAAAAACTTAGAATTTTTCTAAGTATAAAAAGTCAACATCTTTTTCTCAACTTTGACTCATCACAACTTTCAGCTCAAACATCCATCTAATCTCATTCTTGGCACATTGTAAAGATTGTGACCTTATCTTTCAAATGCTTCAAGAATCATGTCCTAAGACTCCTTGAGCTGTGAACACCATGGATTCAAAGATAGTACCTTGAAACTGAAGTTTTCTCCAAAGTCAGAATTTGAAATTCATAATATGGCTTCT